ATTGTTATATCACACCATTCTAATGTGAAGTATTGTGGTGTTACATTCTGAATTAAACAGTCATTTTGGATTAAGAAACTTTAGGGCCGGCCAGCTAGCTCAGCATTCTAAAGCTCCTGCTTTGGCAGAGTGCAGTAGCTGGGGTTTGATCCCCAGGGCGTGCTGAGACGGTGATTGAGACTGACTATTCAGGAGAATCACTGTGAATCTAATCTATGTAGTGAGACCCTGTGCACCCTGTACATCCTGCCCTAAATTCATAAAAGAACAAACATGCATAGAAATTGAATTTAAATGTAAAATATAGCTGGGTATGGTGGCACAGGCCTGTAATCATAGCATTCAGGAGGCTGAGACAGAAGGATTGATACAAATTTGAGCTCAGTCTGAGATGCATAGTGACTTCAGTGTCAGCCTGAACTATGTAGCAAAAAACCTGTCTCAAAAACAGTCAATTTAAGAAAAGTATAGGGATGATGAGATAGCTTAGCGGTCTAAAGCATTTGCTTAGGCAATCTTAGGCAAGTGCAGGGACCACAGTTTGATCCCTGGCAACACATGTCATGCCAGCCTCACCCCCAGGGCTGGCTGAGCTAGCCACCAAAAAAAGTTTGTGTGTGTGTGTGTGTGTGTGTGTGTGTGTGTGTGTGTGTTCAATTCCAAGTGTTAGAAAAGCATATAAACCAACCCAGTAAACTGTAGAATGAACTGATTTTGCCTTAGCTACCTAATTCGACTTATTTCCTTTCAGACCCTGGTCCTTTATGCCCTTGGCGTGGTACTTCAGGATCCAAATACTTGGCCCTCACCGTACAAGTATGAAGTAGCTGTTATTGTTTCATGATTGTTGAGTTTTATGTGTTTATATGTTTTGTATTTTTCTTCTGAGTTTTTGGGAGAAAATTCAGTTTGTAACAATAATACAACAAACAAAGCTACTGCCTTCCTTTTCTGTATTCTTTGATCTTTTTGTTCTTTCATGAATCTTCTGTGTGCTATTTTGTCTGTTATTACCACTTCTATTCCAAGATCCGTTTGCCTTGTCTCTGTATCTTTACACTCAGTAGAATTTTGGAATTCTTTTGTTTTAATTAGGCATTGCACATGCTGTCTCTTTTCTCCAGTCAGTTGGTGTCATCTATTCTGCTCTTTAATAGAATTCCGAAATAAGTGTTGCATGTATGTGTGCCATGTGTGCAGACAGGACAAAGATGAAGGACAAAGTTACTGTTATTTGCTTCCCAGATGAGCAGCTAGTAAAACTATCTCAGCATAGCACCTAAGGATTTACTAATTTAGAAAAAGGTTACAAATTGAGTTGATTTGAGATTACACGGAAGTGTTGGGACTGTTGATACTGCTATCCTCAAAATACTTGGAGAATCTAGGTTATAAATAGAAAATAGTAAAAGGAATAGATTCTAAAATGTGGAAATCATCTTTAGAAGTCAGATGTAATCAAAGTTAGGAAATAATTGATGGTTGGATTATGTCTAAAGACAGCTTTCTGAAGCTGGGTGCTTCCTTTCCCACACCATATGGAGGCCTAAGAGACCATTTGTACCAACAGGAGCACACAGTCCTAAGACAGACCTCAAGAAGGCATAGGTCCTTTGTAGGATTGGTTTGTTTGTTTTTAATATTTATTTGGTACAGGGTCTCACTATACAGCTTGGACTCATACTGATCCTCCTGTTTCAGCCTCCCCAGGACTGGGATTATAGCACTGTGCCACCATGCCCAGTTTCAGTGGCTGGCAGGGCACACTCAGGGCTATAGGCCTGGTATGGCGTGTGGCACCAGTGATTGAACTTGGGTCCTTGTGCTTGCCTGGCAGGCACTTAGACTGCCAAGCTATCTCCCCAATCCAGTTGTTTGTAGTTTAAATGTAATTGTTACAAAGAGAAGGATGGAGAGATGGATGTTCTTCACCAAATTTGATGCCTTGGAGGTTCAGGCAGATTGGTAGAAACCCTTTCTGTGGCTGATACTCTTTTATATGAGGGTAGCAGAAGTGTTCCAACTACTCACCTAAGGAAGGACATTACAGTAATTCCTAGCGCTTCACTGCTGTGAATAAAATGCCTATAAACATTGATACAGGGGCCGGGGAGATGGCTCAGTAGGATAAGTGCTTGACTGGCAAACACAAGGATCTGAGTTCAATCCCCGGTTCTGCCAAAAAACAAAACAAAACAAACCCCAAAAAACATTGATACAAGTTTTGTTAGAACAGAGAATTCCAGAAGAATATATGCAGTGTGTTATTTGTTGAAACTGTACTTCTGATTTGATTTGAAACTGTCTCATTGCTGTTTATCAATAAAATTTTGGAAAAAAAAAAAAAAGAAAAAAAAAAAAAAAAAAGAACAGAGAATTCCATTTCTTTGGGATGTATTTGTGCCCAAGAGTTACATGGTAAAGTAGGTGTTTAGTTTAGTGGGAAACTGCCAGGCTGGTTTTCAGAAATTTTCTCCTAGCACTTTACCAGCATATTGAGTTTCTTTGCGGCCTCATCAGTATTTATTATTAGCATTATATTTTTAATTTTCTTGTCTTATTAAGTATACATTAAGTATATAAAATATAGTTAATATATTAACTATTAACTTAATATATTAAGTATATATTAAGTATATTTTATATACATTAAGTATATATTTAATATATGTTAAAAGATAATACAGAAAAAAGATAAAGCTGAG